GCGGGCGGGGGCGCGGCGGCCCGGGGGGCGCGGGCCGGGGCACGGCGCGGCGGCCCCGCCGGCAGCGAGGCGGCGGCCTGGGAGCGCGGGGCGGCCGGCGCGTTATCGGGACTGTTATCGCTTGTCAGGACCTCCGTCTCCCCGCATTACGTCAGTTTCAAGACACCAACACTATTAATATCAAAGGAGCCTTCGCGGAGGAAAGCGCCACCCCAGACGGAGCGCCCTTAAAGAGACAGTGCAGGCGGCCCCGCCGCGCGGCCCGCGCCGCCCCCCGCCGCCGCCTCCGCCCGCCGCCGGGCCACGGCCACGGGCAGCGCGGGCCGGGCCCGCCGGGCCGAGGGGCCGAGTCGCCCCGCGGCCGCGGCGACTCGCGCTGAGTTGAAGCGGGGATAGCCGCAGGCCACAGGCGCGCCCCCAGCGCGGCCCGCGGGAGGCGGCGGTGCCCGCGGCTGTCACTGGGACCCGCGGCTGCCCTGCGGGATTGGAAAGGGTGGCCGTGGGGATAAAAGGCGCGATCCACACGCGCCAGTAGCTGCCGCCCTCGGGAGACCCCAGCCCTAGTCGGTGTCTCCCGCAGATTCAGGATCACCTCTGTGCCCCGTGCCCCCCGCTTGTGTGCGGGTGCTGAGGCGGCTGGGCACACAGTTCCCAGGCTGAGGGATGAACAGTCTCGTTACCGCCTGCGCTTTGATACCGGTCGCAGGTCAGCCCCGAGCTGATCCGAGAAAACCCTCACAACTTTTCCTCCTTGTGCAGAACTTTTTCAATTCGAAATACTCCTATATCCCCCATGCTACCAAATGCCAGAAGTCTGCACGTCAGTGTAAAAACCCTCTCCAAGGAGAAGCAGTACATAAAAGGTTCTTATGAAAAGGTTTTAAAATCCCAAATATAGTAGGCGTTAAAAACTATGTAAACATTTGTTGGGCATTTGGACACAATTTTTCTGCAGTTAGGTGACTTTATATGGCGTGCTTTTTCCTCCCATGCAAGTTGTTTTAAGCTGATTTCACATTCAAATAGATGCACTCTGCTTACTTGCAACTACTATCACATTTCTCAAGGAAAAAGCTGGAAAAGGGTTAAATGATTACAGTTTGAGAGTTGAAGCTGCTTCCCCCTGAAATACTTGAAAGTGCATAACTTTTTCCTTACAATTTTACTCTCAAATACATGGTGAAGTGTAAAGTATAAAATCTTCAGAGATACATCGTGACGCAAATGAAACCCTATTGTAAAACTTACGGCGTTCTCAGCCCTCGCTCCAAACTTAAATATTCTTCATACGCGTTTAATATAATCCACTGGCAGATTTGTAAAGTAATTGCTTGTGTAAATCACCCAGGAACACATTTCCCCCTTAAGTTCTTCTGTAGGATTGTCTGATAAAGCACTTTATGAATAGAAAAGCAGTAATTCACATATAAGTGGTGAACTTGTCATGTTGAAAATGGAAGGTTGCACAGTTAGGCACACAGTGGGATCCCTGACACAGGGAAAGGGGAATTCACTGATTACATGTGGTACTCCTTCTATATCCATCCACAGAAAATGAGTTCAGAGCAACAGAGACATATATGGAATGTGAAGGAAAGTAATACCAAAATTTAAAGTTTGTTACAAAGTCTGCCTCGATACTTTAGTACCTCATGCGTGGTAACACCTCACTCATATGTGCACAGACAACCTTCCCTGACTTCATAAATTTACTTTTTCACAAGCTGCAAATGCCAAGGCTGAACCACAGTCAAACAGACAAGCCACTTCCACAAACTTGAGTGACTACAGACCTCTGAAAAGCAAGTATTTTTGTCACATCAATTCAAACACATTTTTCCCAACAGTTTTGATTTTATTATTTTTACTGAGCATGTCAGCCCCAACTGACTGTTTGCTTGGCATATGTCTTGCATAGAAAAGGTTAAAATAGGCAGGTATTTTGTCTGATCACTTGGCTAAGCATCTTACAAGCAGGGCTTGAGTGGAAAATATTTAAACAAGAGTTATTTCCCTTCGCCTCTCTGCTCTAGTGAGACTTATTAATGTATTTTTATTTTAAACCAGGAAATGATGCCCCCCACACCTCAGATCCCAGCCAGTTCTTATGTGTGGCTGCAGTTTTCCCAGATTTTATTCACATTATGACAGACAAACTGTGAGGATCGATAACAGCAAAAACACAGATTTCAACATGTGTGAAGCTTGATAACAAAGACACCTTTTTTCACCTGTAGAGCAGTATTAGAGAGGTGTGCTTTTAAAGGACATGAGTATCTCTGTACATCCACTTTTAAAATGAAACCTCAAAGCCATTCATAAGCAAAGATGAGGACACATGTCTTCGTAGTTTCAAGTAGACAACTCTAATGAAATACTCTAGCGCTCAGAAAAAGTTTGTTACTGTATCTTTCTTAGAAATTCTTTCATGATACATTCTGCATTACAAGTTAAAATAAAGCAGATCAAGAAGATGTCAATATGAATCTGTTTATATTCACCACAAAAAACTGTAGAAAACTTTACAAAGGCAAAAAATATTTTTATAGATGTTTTTCAGGCAAATTATTTATTTATGAAAAAATTTACAAAGAAAATTTTTACCTCATGTCTTAGATACATTGCATATGCTTATGATTGACACAATATGTTCAGGCTCAAAGGCCCATATAGACTTCCACCCCCCCCCTTGTTTGTTTGTTTTTTTTTTTTTAAATCCTAGCAGGAATTTTTCAAAAAAGCCAACTAATTCATGAAGTCATATAATAATTGTTTGACAGTTGTTTCCAATATAGGAAAATAAGTTATGTATATTGTTTTCATTCAAATATTTGTTGATTTGTTGTTAGAATGCTTTGACATTGACATGCCACAAATTGCATTAGGAGAAATATTGTAGATTTATTTTCATTTATTATCTTCTGCTGTCAAACTTTTCCAAAACCACTTAAATGAAGTTTTATTCCACTTTGTTGAAAACTCAATAGTCTGCATGAAAGTAGGTTGTTTTTGAAATAACAAGTTCAGCTTTCTCTAAGAGATAAGAGCTGAGGGAATGAAGGAAAAAATGCAAAGCGAGAAGATGCAGAGAAAGTGCTGCTTTCACTGAGAGGCATGAACAAAGTAACTTCTAAATAATCCTTCAGGTTTTTTTACAGTCAGGCACATTCTCCATTGAGGGAGAATACAGAGGCCAGTCACGGTTGCTTCTTGAAGGAAAACAGTATAACAGTCATTGTTTATCAAGATGACATAACATGCCATTTTTGCCTTTATTGTTTAATGCAGTTTCTCTTGTAGTTTACTCAGCGTAGATACAAAGAGGGATTAACAGTAAAGCATAAGCATACTTGTTTTACAATTTCAGCCTTTTAGTGCATAACTTACTGAAAGTACTAGGGCCTATAATCACAATGATTTTACCTGATGGAACATGCATTTCAGAAATATAATCCAACTGTTTACCCTAACACGTCATAAATTGCAATTCTTTACAAAAACCTCAGAGATTGACATCCGTTGCTCTTAAGTGCCTGCTGCTTTAACACACATCATCAAGAAAGTATTTCTGTATTATTCTCCCTCTGGTTGGTAGTATATTACTTGAATTCTAAAGACAGTTCTCTTATACTGTCTTCAATAATGAACATTTTGAGAAGCACTTAGTTATGTCTGTCTGAGGCACTCCAGTGCGAGATTCTTGAGATCATAAACACAGCAACTTGCAGAATTTTGCAGACCCACTTCTTTTCTTTGCACAACTTTTGTCACATGAAATCATCGGGAAACTTTTGTTCCCTGTCTTACACTCTATACAGAGTCAAGTTTCTAAACTTCAAGTTGTGCGTCAAAGGCTAAAAACTACCACTGATTTTCAAATAAATGGGACTGGGGACCCTAACGATGTGGTTGAAACGTCTCTGAAAAGAGATTATGCGTTGTGATAGACAGGGCAGCGCCGAGAACAGCCAATGAAACAGCATGCAACTGAAGAGCTAATACCATGGCATCATCCCAGATTCAACAGATGTTTTCTAGGGGGATTGGATATCTGGTAATGGGAAATGGAACCTTTCTTTTCTATGTCACTGGTTTTAACACAGGCCAGTAGCAATGGAAAGTCAATAATAAGCGACACTTGTTTGGTAGCTTTCTCCACTGCGTGGCAGAAAAATGTTCTCCTGAGTACAGCACACCATGGCTGGTACTTCCCCACACCCCAGTGGCACTGCTGCCAAAAAGGCCTTGCATGGAAGTGCCTGGAAACCCTTTTTCCTGGGAGCCTCCCGGGGAGGGATGAGGAACACTGACAGGGCACAGATTGCTCCTGCTAATGGTGTCTGCAGATAGTTAAATAACTCTGACAGCCACAAAAGATAATTTATCACTTTACAGTATCATAAAATCTACTAGAAAATTAAAAATTCTATAACACCAGACTCCCTAAAATCATTTAAATGCAGGAATCCACATAATTGTATAGATCTTGATCTTAAAAATGCTATGTAAAAGGCATTCATCCAAAGCTCTGAAAAGCCTCACATGCACATACACATACATATGAAGCAATACATAATGAGTGTCTCCCAGCAAATATCAATGAAAGAAGTGGCAGCATTTCTTCCCACATTTCAACTGCAAGATCAGCAAATCAAAACAACCTGAGCCCCCTGTCTTGTCATCACCACCTGCCAGACAGAGCCACTACCTTGCCCTCCCTCAATTCCATATTCATCCTCCCACCAGCATTTCTGGGAAGGTTAATCTGGATTGGTTAAAAGTGTGCTGAAGTCAATGGGGAAAAAAAAA